AGCAGCCGCAGCAACAGAAGGCTGGTGGCTTGGAGATGGGCGAGCCAAACGGGGTCCCTCCTGGGCCGGGCGGGTCCAGCCCACAGAGGATTCAGCGGGGACTACAGAACGCCTCTAGTCAGGTACTGGGGCACTGGGTGCGTTTGTGTGTGTGTGTGTGTTTATTTGTTTGTAGTGGTGGGGAAGGGTGCATGTTTATTTATATATTTATAATGGTGTGTGTGTGTTTATTTATAGCAGTGAGGAGGCTTTGTACTTTGTGTGTGTGTGTGTGTGCGTGTGTGTTTATTTATAATAGCAGTGGGGAGGCAGGTTTTTTTTTTTGTGTGTGTGTGTATGTGTACATAATAACGGTGGAGAGGTTTTTAGATTTGTTTTAGTAAGAGTTTTACAGCACTTGAAACACAATAAACTCATATAAGTGCCAAAAATTAGAGGTTTTACAAGAGAGTAACAAGCCCAAGAAAGAAGGAGGGGAGATAAGGACGATAGTTGTTTGATTGGAAAGAAAAAGAAGAGCACCTGCCAACCACCCACAATGCTGTGGAGAGGGAGTGTGTGTGTGTGTGTATTTATTTATACATGCAATATTTATTATAATATACATATTTCGCCATGTTTGTTGTTTTTTATAAAAAAGAATATGTCGAAAGATAGGTAGCATTTCTATAGCACAAATTCCCGCTCAACAGCGAGCTCTATACGCTTTACAGTCTATACTGTTAAATAAGAAAAATAAATGTATATACATGTGTCACAACATAGCGGAATCAGGCGCTCGTCAATTTTTGGGCAGGTGGAGTTATTGGTATTGCACTAAATCTTGTTCATTTACCTTGCTTTCTATGAAAGAATTACTCATTTATCTTTAGTACATGTCAAGATATTTTCGATTGAATGAGGTGGGGGTCACCTGGTTTCAGAGGTAAAATTAGGGGAAAACAGCCTCCTGAGTTTGATTATTTACAAAACCTCAGAGTCCCTGAAAACTGACAATTTACATATTTTGTGCCTTTAATCTGCGTTTTTCAATATAATTCACACAGAAATAAGTTCTTAAATGGACGTAGAAGATGTTGGGCAAAAAAATTAATAATTTTTTCACAAAAGTTGCCAGACCAGAGTGTCAAGTATCTGAACTTTCATTATTTTGACGAGCGCCTGATTTCACCACGCTGCCTCACATATAGTGTAAGAGAGGGATTCTGTGTATTTAGTGTTAGAGAAGAGGGATTCTGTGTATTTAGTGTTAGAGAGAGATTGCATGTGTAGTATGTAGTGTCGGGAAGGGTCTGTAGTTCTAGTGACTACGGGGATGATGTCTGTTGTATTTGAATATGTTAGTGAGGACTTCTGTTTAGTTGCTTTAGTTAGGTATTGCGAGTGATAATGTGGCGAGATCTATAATAATGATAATGAATAATGATAATAATAAATAATAATAATGGTCATAATCAATAATAATAAAAATAATAATAATAATGATAATAATGATGATAATGATAATAATGATAAT